GTGCCACAAAATTGGCCCCACCATTATTTGCCTGATAGATAGATGGCTGGAAGCCCTTGACAACACCAGCATCACATATGGACAAATGCATACACACACAATCACAGCGCTGGCACCACCGATGAGTATGGTGGATAGCCTCCTGTGGGCCATCTCTAACACCTCATCATCTCTATAACCAGATACTGATATTAAACAGAATGTTAATATTAAACGAAGGCTCAACATTCAAATCATTGTAGTCCTCTGAAAAGGTTCTAACCATGTGCCACAAAATTGGCCCCACCATTATTTGCCTGATAGATAGATGGCTGGAAGCCCTTGACAACACCAGCATCACATATGGACAAATGCATACACACACAATCACAGCGCTGGCACCACCGATGAGTATGGTGGATAGCCTCCTGTGGGCCATCTCTAACACCTCATCATCTCTATAACCAGATACTGATATTAAACAGAATGTTAATATTAAACGAAGGCTCAACATTCAAATCATTGTAGTCCTCTGAAAAGGTTCTAACCATGTGCCACAAAATTGGCCCCACCATTATTTGCCTGATAGATAGATGGCTGGAAGCCCTTGACAACACCAGCATCACATATGGACAAATGCATACACACACAATCACAGCGCTGGCACCACCGATGAGTATGGTGGATAGCCTCCTGTGGGCCATCTCTAACACCTCATCATCTCTATAACCAGATACTGATATTAAACAGAATGTTAATATTAAACGAAGGCTCAACATTCAAATCATTGTAGTCCTCTGAAAAGGTTCTAACCATGTGCCACAAAATTGGCCCCACCATTATTTGCCTGATAGATAGATGGCTGGAAGCCCTTGACAACACCAGCATCACATATGGACAAATGCATACACACACAATCACAGCGCTGGCACCACCGATGAGTATGGTGGATAGCCTCCTGTGGGCCATCTCTAACACCTCATCATCTCTATAACCAGATACTGATATTAAACAGAATGTTAATATTAAACGAAGGCTCAACATTCAAATCATTGTAGTCCTCTGAAAAGGTTCTAACCATGTGCCACAAAATTGGCCCCACCATTATTTGCCTGATAGATAGATGGCTGGAAGCCCTTGACAACACCAGCATCACATATGGACAAATGCATACACACACAATCACAGCGCTGGCACCACCGATGAGTATGGTGGATAGCCTCCTGTGGGCCATCTCTAACACCTCATCATCTCTATAACCAGATACTGATATTAAACAGAATGTTAATATTAAACGAAGGCTCAACATTCAAATCATTGTAGTCCTCTGAAAAGGTTCTAACCATGTGCCACAAAATTGGCCCCACCATTATTTGCCTGATAGATAGATGGCTGGAAGCCCTTGACAACACCAGCATCACATATGGACAAATGCATACACACACAATCACAGCGCTGGCACCACCGATGAGTATGGTGGATAGCCTCCTGTGGGCCATCTCTAACACCTCATCATCTCTATAACCAGATACTGATATTAAACAGAATGTTAATATTAAACGAAGGCTCAACATTCAAATCATTGTAGTCCTCTGAAAAGGTTCTAACCATGTGCCACAAAATTGGCCCCACCATTATTTGCCTGATAGATAGATGGCTGGAAGCCCTTGACAACACCAGCATCACATATGGACAAATGCATACACACACAATCACAGCGCTGGCACCACCGATGAGTATGGTGGATAGCCTCCTGTGGGCCATCTCTAACACCTCATCATCTCTATAACCAGATACTGATATTAAACAGAATGTTAATATTAAACGAAGGCTCAACATTCAAATCATTGTAGTCCTCTGAAAAGGTTCTAACCATGTGCCACAAAATTGGCCCCACCATTATTTGCCTGATAGATAGATGGCTGGAAGCCCTTGACAACACCAGCATCACATATGGACAAATGCATACACACACAATCACAGCGCTGGCACCACCGATGAGTATGGTGGATAGCCTCCTGTGGGCCATCTCTAACACCTCATCATCTCTATAACCAGATACTGATATTAAACAGAATGTTAATATTAAACGAAGGCTCAACATTCAAATCATTGTAGTCCTCTGAAAAGGTTCTAACCATGTGCCACAAAATTGGCCCCACCATTATTTGCCTGATAGATAGATGGCTGGAAGCCCTTGACAACACCAGCATCACATATGGACAAATGCATACACACACAATCACAGCGCTGGCACCACCGATGAGTATGGTGGATAGTCTCCTGTGGGCCATCTCTAACACCTCATCATCTCTATAACCAGATACTGATATTAAACAGAATGTTAATATTAAACGAAGGCTCAACATTCAAATCATTGTAGTCCTCTGAAAAGGTTCTAACCATGTGCCACAAAATTGGCCCCACCATTATTTGCCTGATAGATAGATGGCTGGAAGCCCTTGACAACATCAGCACCACATATGGACAAATGCATACACACACAATCACAGCGCTGGCACCACCGATGAGTATGGTGGATAGCCTCCTGTGGGTCATCTCTAACACCTCATCATCTCTATAACCAGATACTGATATTAAACAGAATGTTAATATAAATATCAGCAGCCCATAATCGTATCTTGCTTTCATTCTTGGAAAAAATCTTATGAATGTCACTACTGCAGCTAGTATGAAGACGAAAAAGCCCAAGTAGTATGGGCTCACATATTTCTCCAGAAAAACTAGCAATTCGATGAGCTCCAACGCCAAGAGTACTAGCAAGCAGTGTTGCAAAACCCCTATTTACACCCCTTCCAAGTGTTGCACCCACAGAGAAGTCAAAGACAACAACAATAGTAAGAACAGCCCACATTGCAGAGACACCAAAACCATCATAGAGAGGGTCACAGTAGTAGAACTAAAAGGTTGAGAAGGTGGTGTAGAGAGAAACCGAAGAGAGAGTTGCCGAGAGAGAGAGGTTGGCCTCTTCATCTCAGAGAGATGAGAATGGTTGATCTTTGTATGTAGAGAAGTCGCCTCTGGTGGCGGCGAACTGGAAGCTATATGTATTGATAGAGGTGACAGCGGAATAGGTTGAGGTCCGGCGGGCGGCTAAGGTGAGGTTGCCGCCCGCCAGGGAAGCGAAAATATTAGGTTCTAAACCTGCTCTGATACCATGTAGAAAAATTTAATGTATAAAGAGAAATAGAGAATTGTATAGATATTGATTGTATTATTGATTGTTGTATTTTGTGTTTACAATGAGTCCTATATATAGAAGATTTAAAGGAGGTAGGTATGTAGTAGGTGGAGTAGTAGGTGGAGAGGAGGTGGTAGTGGTGTAGTGGGTTAGCCCTCACCTACTCCTCACCTACTACCCAAATCCTCTCCTATATAATAGGAATCCTTGTAATATCAATATCACAACAACAACAATATCAATATAAATCAATCAATAATACATCAATTGTAACATAGAGGAATGAACCATAGCACTACGGCGACTCTCCTCTTGCTGGACAAGGGCATAAGCCTCGCGTAGGGTGGGAAAAGGTGAACGACCCAACACCTGGACGCGAATCTGATCATACTCCAAGTTCAAGCCAGCAAGAAAGTCATACACACGCTCCCCCATGGTTTGCTGAAACAAAGTGGCATCCCGAGAACAAACAGCCTGGAAGCTTTGGTAATAGTCTAGTTCCTGCCACAAACTACTCAACTTAGCATAGTAGACTGCGAGTGATCCATCTTTCTGATCTAAGCTCCAAAGCTTCTTCCTCAACTCATACGCCTGTGCATCATTACCCTATTGGGAGTACATTTGGGCTGCAACTGTCCAAATCTTATGAGCAGTATCTAATAAGAGGAAACTCCAACTAATGGTGGGTTGCATGGAGTTGATTAGCCAAGTCATAACAAGAGCATTTTCAGAAATCCATTGAGTATGGAGGGAGTCATCACCATCCGGTAGGGGAAGAGAACCAGTAATGTAGCCAGTCAACCGACGAGCAGCAATAGCAATACTACAGGAGCGCGACCAAATCAAATAGTTGGAATCATCCAATTTAACGGGACTAATTTGAAGAGAGGGACTGTCGGTAAGAGTAATAACACGACGCATGCCACCCTTAGTCTCACTCCCAGCCATTGAAGATTAAATCCCCACAATAGAAAAACAAATACTAGCCCACAACAGCAAAAAACAAATAGAGGCAAATCCACAAACTCGACTTAGGGACAAAAGTTACCTCTAGAGACGAAAACAGAGCTGAAACATGGGCTGGAGAGGCCAAAACCCAGCAGAAACTGTGCTGAAACTAAGGAAAAACCGACAAAAATAGAGTGGAACGTTACCAAATCATCAAACCCAGGTCTCCCAACCCTAGGACAGTCCCAGTCAGCTCCCAAGGTAGAGGGAGGAAGGGAAAAATCAGCCAAAAACAAGCCCTAGCAAGGACTTCCGAAAAATCAATCAGTGTTTCCAAAAATCAACAAAAATTGGAAAAACACTCAAACACTCATCAAAAAATTAAAATAAAAATGTAGGGTGAAAACCCATCAAATTTCGACCATGAAGGATTTTTTTTTTTTTTTTTGTGTACAAGGAAGAACGAATGAAACTAGGAACAAGAGAAGAATCTTCAAGGAGGAAGATGAAACTCTGATACCATGTTAGATTTGCATAAAAGAAAGAAAAGAATGAGTGGAAGAAAAGAGAGACTACTGCTACTATCTATTATTTCACACCACTAAACATATTAGGGTTACCCATACTTATAATAAGAGACTAAAGGAACAAATGACATAACTACCCTTACACACTAATACTTAACACTAACCATATGCAATTCCATGAAATTGATAAAGGCAAGAACGAAACCAAACAACGATATGTACTTAAGGTTACATGACAGACAATGCAAGCTTGTCAATTACAAATATGGTATGTGACGCTCAAGGTTGACTACAGTAGAGAAGAAAGCTTTTTTGTTTTATCCGTAGTTGAGAAGATAGCTTACACATCAATTTCAATAGTGTGATCAACTTCAGATTGTTCGAGCAACTGCCTGACAGGATCTTGATCATATAGAAACTTCAAGAATATAATCACAAGTTCACTGCCAAAACCGATATGTATAAGGACAAATTATAAGTTCAGGAAATCAGCAAAGCCTAACAGAACAAGAAAGAACATCTGAAAGACAAACCTACTGAATGGTAGAAGCTGATCACTTGTTTCTGACATTAGTATTTTTACTGTCTTCAGAAGCCAGCTGAAGAAATTTGAAAGCTAAAAGAAAGACTTTTAGAGTTTACAAAATAAAAATAAAAACTTGAATACAAAGATCTAAGAGGGAGTCACATAAAAAGACATAACAATGAAATGGGAAAACAAAGCATGCAACAAATTGTGCTTGTATATACTTTGAGCTTACAATCATATCAAACAACTGACTGCAATTGTCTAATCATTTCAATGGATGATGAAAAAGTTTAATGTTATGATTGGTATGAGGGCAACTATGGGAAAAGAAAGGAAATTTTTTCTTAAAAAAAATTCTATTGTTCAGTTGGCTTAATAAGAGAGAAAAGGAAAAAAATTAAGTCAGAGTTTTTAATTTATTTATTTTTTAATAAGTAAAAGTTATGTATAGAAGATGCCAAAAGGGTCAGCACCTCCATGCAACAAAAAAAAAAAAACTATGCAAATTCATAAAAAGCTCAACACCAAAATTGAGCTCCCCTATAAAATCTACAATAGCAAGAGAGGATTCAAAATTCACAAAAATATTCTCACCTTAGATACCACTTATACTTCTCTGATATCTTAAAACTGTGTCATAGATTTATCCAACACATCTCAAATTTATCTAGCAACTGATTCATGTAACCAAACCTAACCACCACACATGTTGTATCTTGACTAACAGAAATGTATAATGCCCACTCTATAATTGGTAACTAAAGATCTCTTTAAGCAACAATAATAATGCATGAAATGAAATAGATACCTTAAAAGTCTGCTGACTTGTATGTCATGTAAATGCAGTAGAGGTCAACAACATTTTAAAAAATTAGCAAACCAACAAAAGTTCAATTGTTCAACTGTTCTACTACTTGTTCTTCAAGTCAAAACAAAGACATTACAGCAGTTAACGGCAGTACAAATTACAAAGTTTTGACCACCCTTTTGACAGGGTTACACATTTTAGAGTTGGAGAAATACAACCAAGCAACAACCCCACCTCCTAAAATTCTTTGAAAAAAGGTGTTGATCATCATAAGAAATGAAACCTATGGAATATAACTTAATGAGCAATGATCTTGTGTTTGCAATAGTAAAACAAAAGGATACCTGTTGCACCACAGAGGATAGAACCCTCATAAATCGTTCAATTTGAATGAGCAATATACCCGCTTTTTCTGTTGCATTATTGATTAATGTCTCATCCAAACCAATACCTTGAAAACGTGCTCGCCATTTTGAAAGGCCTCTCAGTTCTCCCATTCTAAACCCAATAATTTCTGCAGCAGGCTGAAAAATGGAGATCCAAAACCTAGGTTTTAATTGAAGCCTCTTGGCATAAGGAGCAAGACTAAACAAACTCATATGCACAAAATTATATATATAATAGGGCAACCTGAAAAGAGAAGTTAGAAGAATGCACCAACCACTGATTTGTATCTATATATTAAAAAAAATTAAAAATTCAATAATAAGAAATAAATAGAGCAAATCAATATGCCAATTTTCTGTGCTATCTCTAGCAGATTTGACATTTCTCATTTGATGCAGTCAGCTCATTCTTCAGAGGATAATAATAATAACAACAACAACAACAATAATAACAATAAAAATAATGATAATAACCCACTTTGATGCCTACTTTGGTAACAGTTGGCTCATTAAAAAAGACATCTTACGGCTCTATGACGCCTATTTGGCTCCTATTCAGGTTTAATCATGCCAAAAAATAAAAGTAAAAGTAATCATCTGTTTATGTCCACATACAAAGTTGTGTTGCTTCTACACTTCTACTTAATTGCAAGTTGCAGGCATATGAACTTTATGGAAAAGCATATGACAAGCTTAAACTATTAAACGATGAGTATTGTTACCCATGTAGTTCCATGGTACTAGACATGTTGAAACTAAGTAGAAAAAGCCACAAATTAGATTGCACCCAGTATCAATATCAAGAAATCAGAAAGGGCATTACTTGCATTAATTGATGTAATCGCACAGTAGATCTAATAACTGATCTTGTCAATCCTAACATATGTACCAACATACAATACCCAAAAAAAATATCAAAAAGTAAAGAATTTTACTACATAAAGAAATAGAGGAGCACACCTGTAGATGATCAAGTACAATAAGCTGAAGCTCTTTTCCAGCACCACAAACAACCTTCGCTACACGCTTGAGACCCTATTTAGTAATAAACTAACCAAATTAGATATTATCAAGATTTCTTTTCAAAAATGAGTACACTGCATAAAGTAGATCATACCGCTTCACCAAGAGAATTGACCAGAAATTGATGTACTGGTGGACTTGTCCGAGCACCACCTAAAAGGCTTAGAAGTTCCTCTTGTGGAGTCGAATCCAGTCCTATACATAAATCATGGAGAAAAGTGAATGGAAAACAAATAGAAAAGCATACCATTAAACTGTGATTGTTCTCAGTCATTACCATGGTCAATAATCAGAGTAGATAGAGAATCAAATTTCTCATGAAATGTATGCATGGCATCAGACCATTGCTTACACATGACTGATAGCGATGCCCGGATGACTTCAGTTAAATCCTCAATATTGGAAGCTTGTTGAGCCACCTGGTGAAGCTCATTTTTCCTGAAGTAGGTGGAGATGAACAAAGCAAACAAAACATGTTAACTGATAATTGTTTATTGTGGTGGTAGTTTCCAAATATGAATGCAATAACTAACAATAATTTGGTTATGCAAAGAAAATTCTGTCAGTATGTTAACTACAAACATAAACCATTGAACACTTTCTTCTTCTTTTTTTAAAGTTTCTGTCGTACCTAAAAAAAAAAAAAGAAAAAAAAAAAACACTGCTTTTAATTATAATTGTTTTAGGTCATCTTATAGCTGCAAGTCATAAGAGAAAACTTCAAAAAAGAACTTTCTAAAAGAAATAACGGAAAAACATGGTCTAATAGAGAAATAAAACACATTAGAAATGGGAAGATTCGGTAATAATAGTAATTAACATATAAACGATAGATATGTCTTAAGGGAGAAACAGGGAATGAAGCACACAGTATGCACTCAAAACTAGAAAAAAAGACACGAGCATTTACTATAAAAAGGCAACGCAAACTAAAACTCAAAGACAGAGTCACTGAGCCTACACTGAGCCTAAGCTAGAACACCTCCAAATTATTAAAAGGGTAAACTACCAATAGGTCCTAATAGTTGGACTTAATTCCCATCAAGTCCTATTGAAAATAAGTTCTAGTAAAATCGTCGCTAAAAATAGTTGTGATGATATTTTTGCATATATCGTTAAAAATTGACAATTAGTGACTTTTTCTGTGACGAATTTTTTAACTGTCGATGAAAGTTAAATATTAGTGACTTTTTGTGACAATTTTTTTAAACTATTGCTAAAACTTATAATTAGTGACATTTTTTTTGACAATTTTCAAACTGTCGCTGAAAATTAATAATTAGTGACGTTTTTTTAATAGTGTTTGATGAAAAACACCATTAATTCTCACAGGACCAATAGGACAATAAGTCCACCTATTAAGACCTACACGTAAGTCCCCCTAAAAGAAATTCTTCTAGCATAGGGAGATTTCCAGGAATGGAGATACTTGGCTGTTAACTAAAGGTTGAAACTCTACAGTGAGTGTCACTGTGATCCTACAAAATATATAAAAGGAGTATGACAAGTCCGGTACTTTTCCACAAGGTTTTTTGTTTTGAATCTGAAACTTATTCACAAGGTTCGGATCTTTGTTTCAATCTAAGGAATTTTTAAAGGGCCCGAAAGGCTGAAGGGGCTGGGTAACAAGGTCATTGAAGAAGATGATCAATTTGCCAATACCTTCCTGCCATATGCAGTAGGAACAATACACGACAGTTTGGGTAGTGTTGTTTATTATGAGACTGGTTAAGTTTTCCTGACATTTGATCCAGTATTGTTCAGAGCATATACTTGGGTATCTTTCACTTGGATGTAGAAAATAAAACCATGCTGTGCTTCTACGTTGTTCTGGCTTCCCTTCGTCTACTCTCAAAAGGGTAAGTATAGTTCAAATAAAGAAACTAACTAATTTTCTCCATAGTCACCTTAAATTATGCATCTAATATTTTAGGCTTTCAAGCATTTACAAGTCTTGATTCAAGCTTCCAAAAGTTTTGCTGTGACTACTTTATTTTATCTATAATCTCGTTTTTTATTTCTTTCTTTCTTTTAATTATTTCAAGATCTTCACATCTTTAAACTCCCATAAAAACAAAGAGTAAAATTCTCCCAATAAGATTGATGATACACAATAGGCTATGGCATAGCTATTACTAAGAAGCTTCTTATTATTCTAATATCAAGTTCTTTTCAGATAATCCAAACTACCCCTTTAAGATGAGTGACCTATGTAACAAAAAAGGGGGGAAATGCAAAAATTATAATTGTTCGGCACAATGGTACAAAAAATTTTGAGCCAAGGAGCTCTCAATAATACAGACAACCAATAAGATGTGTCAAAATAATTACACTAAGAACTCAATCTTTGCAAGACTGACAAAATGAAGCACCAATTCCTGAGCAATGGAATGGTAAACAAGAAAAATAACAGAATAATGAACGCGACTTCAGGACTACAGAACTCATTAGCTTCTTTAATTCTTCCAATAATCACAGCTTCTGCAAAATGTTGAAATTACCTCTTCCAAAATATTGAAGTATCAAGCACTAAGCAATGCAAACCAAGTAAATCACGTCCAGATATTGGACTCTTGCTTGGTTCTTCTGAAAGCTCCCCAGAGCAAATGACTACCAAATGACAAAGATCTTTTGCCAAAGCTACCTATGACAGAAAGGTACTTAATAATGAGTTACTTTAGAAAACTGGCATGTGAAAAGCTTCTAAAAGCATCAACAAACTAAATATGCTTAGTTTCATCTCATTTAACAACATATGTACGTATGCATTTATTTTGCTACCGATATTATTTCCCTAAAAAATAATATATCCATCAAAGATTTATGAACACAAGTATACAAGAAAAATAACCACATAAAAGAAATCTGTAAACAGCTTGGACCCATTTCATTCATGATTGCAACGATCATATAAATCAAGATACATGAGTTAATGAAATGTAACAAATGTATTTCTAACAAGTTTCCATTCAATAAGCTGTCTTGCTTGACATATCTAATCGACTTATTTCCCAAATTTATTCCATATGCACTTGCATTTGTCAAAAAATTCCTCTAACTCTCAATAGATATTATGTAAGACCATTGACAACTTCATATAAGTTATATTGGTGTACAGGCACAGATAAAATTTTATATTATTTTTTTAATAAAAACAAAAATAGTTAACTTTCTTTTGTTTGGGAGAAAAAAGAAGAAATTTATTTTAGGTCGTAATCATTTATGATTGCATCAAATGTAGACCACTGAATCAGCTTTTGAGCCCTTTCGAAAGAATTCCTCGTGATTGTTTTTTTTGCTTGGCCTGTATAAGACTTTTGTTTGCAGTCCCATTCATGGTATTTGCCTCTACTTCAATATAGTTAGTATTCTTTCCAAGTGTCTTGGCTCGAGCAACATAAATAGCAATGAATCTAATTGGAAATAAAATTACCCAAATTATACAGCATTGAACAATAAATGTATATATATACATTCATGACAAAATAGAGACTAGCGCTCCATAATCATAAGCATCACATAATTAGATAAATATTAAGGATATTAAAACCACCCAAATTAAGGATAAGCACACCTTGCAAATTGAAGCATTCAAAAGTCGACAAAGGATGTGGTTGTCCACTGGTTGATTAGAGAGAGAAAACTTGTGTATATTCTGGCAAATAATCCCAGAGTTGTAATCCACAAGAAGACTCATAAAAAAGAATACCAAAAAGAATAGAGACTAATGAAGGGGATACAAATGAACCACATTTAGAGTTATTTCCTCTATGGTTCAATCCAGGAACTAACTTACAACTTTTCCAATGGGAAATATGCCAAATATACTAAAGCAGATGCTCCCATCTTTGTCCCCACTGCATAAGATGTTAAATCGTTGATGTGAAGAATTTGATAGCTCCCGAAATGAATCTTCACTTTCATCCATGAAGCCAGTATCTCCAGGTACCACCCCAGGCATTCGAGGGACCCTTGGTGCAGGAGGAAAGAAACGAGAAGTGCGGTCTTCATAAGTTGAGATGTTACCAGAGTTATCCTGACTCCCAATAGAGAAAGAGAGACTTCCATTTATATGAGGAAAGCAAAGAGAAACAAATAAAACTGGACAAGCATATTATATATTTCAGAAAAATGACATCAAGATGATGAAGTAGAAATAGAATGAAGTTTCTGAGATTATTCACCGCAGGAGTACATCCCTCCAAAAATTTTACTCAAGAAATCTTGTTCACAGTACCCGTCAATAAATAGGCTTAGATTCTCTCTCATTCAACTTACCTTTAAACATATGTGGCAAAAGGTTGGAGTCTTAAAGGCTAATAAGTAGCCCATAGGTATGGTTAAAATTAGAAAAATAAAAATCATGTTTTTTACATTGACTGAAAGTTCTTAGCTCATTTGGTCCTAGTCTGCAAACGTTAATCTAGTGAAGTTTCACTGGTGTTTAAATTTAGAGAAGTTTAAATTTCTTCTCTAGTCTTTATCTTAGGAACTTATTTACAATTCAGTCAAAAATATAATAAAAAGTCTTTTTTGCCCATGATTTTCCTAACCAACACCACCAAACAATTACCACCCCCACCACCATTACAGTCCCCTCCCTCCCTGCCACTGTATCAACTCTGCGCCCTTCCTCCCCACCACTGCTGCAGCCCCTCTCCCTCCCAGCCACCGTCGCAGCCTCCTCCTCCACGTGAGTCTGTTACCCCCGTGACCACCGCAGCCATTCTCCCTCCTTGAAAAATAAATATCCATGGTTCAAAGTGAACAATATCACAGCAATTCTAAGCCCTCTGTGGCGGAAGTTGCTAAAAGATCTATTCATGTTTCAAAAGATTTACTCATTCTTCTTCTAGCCGCGCCTTAAAAAAACTGAAAAAATTCAACATGTACCTCAGAATTTCATAAATGCTATTGAATGAATGACACCAAACATAAAGAAAATATTCAATAAAACCCTATGGCAAATGATCATTCAATCTGCCAAGAAAATTAAGAGAGAGATATTATCCTGCATCTCCACTCATGAAACTTACATAGAAGCTATATTTCCAGAGCGTTAGGCAATGGAATGGCACACTTGCCCAAAAACATTGGAATGACACATAATGGAAAGGGAATAGAGACATGAGAATGCTAAAACTCATATATGTAAACTCGAATTAAGTTTTTCATGTATTTTGTCAATTGTAAAAACACTTTTCGTTTGTTCTCTCATTGATTACTATATTACCTGTGAGTAGGAGAGCAATCAAAATGCATTCAGGATCAAATAGCTAAAGACAAAGGCAATGAGAATGCCAATTTAATTTGTTTTAGGAAGCCAAGCTACCTTGCATAGTTGATATCTCATGATTCTCATCACAACAAGCAGCAGTTTAAACAATCTTAATTTTCCAACAAACAATAATAAGGCTCAATTGACTGTAATTATCTAAAAGCTGATGTAATAAATTTCTACATTAAAGTTCCTTTCTCTGATCTTAACGATCCATGACCTTCCATCAATTAAGGCCAAATCCTACATAATCTTACAGGAACAAATCAGTTCAATTTTTTTTGTAAAATGTTTATAGTAGATAATAGAAATGCAGTTTTACTTTATGTATACATAATGGTTACATGCTCTACAAAAGCCATATGGACAAAAGTTAAGGAAATGCATACTCCATTCTTTGTTCCATCTTCCTCCCAGTTAAGACACACAACAGCAACCGTATGGGACTTTAGGCTTCGCAACAGCTTTCCATTCTGCAGTGAATAAAAAACATTTAAAAAAACCATGTATACTACAGAGGTTAACTTGCCTTGAATTTCAGACTCCCAGTAAAACTATTAGAGAAGCAAGCACTGACGTATGTACATTTCCTCAATCAGGTCAATCAAAACTCATAATCAAACATACATAAAATTCTTGAGGTTCAAAAGGGTAAACTGTCATCAGTACAACAAAAATCATACAGAAACAAGTACAAGAGTCAACAAAAAAACGTATCAATATCATCTGTATTACCCAAAATATGCATCTTTAAGGTTTTGCTTTAACAACATTTAAAAGGTTCACATGTTATAAACTAGCATCACTTCTCTAAACAAGAAAAAAAAAATGACTTTAGAACATACTGTCAATATTTTGGACTTAGGAGGATGCGATTAGCACTCAGAATATAATATTTGCAGCCTCATTCTGTAAGCTGAAATATGGCAAATACGAACTTTCTTTCTGGTATGCTGTCTGTGTCAGCCATCAATTAACCTTCATTTGCAACGCTTCCCCAAATAAAACTTCTCAAACTTTTCAGCTCTCTGTCTCTCTCTAATGCACATGCAACCCACACACCAAACAAGATTTCTATCATTTCTCTATTGATCTCAATTTTCATTAAAGAACTGAACTCTTTAAAAATTTGTAAAATTTAATGTATAAAGAGAAATAGAGAATTGTATAGATATTGATTGTATTATTGATTGATGTATGTTATATATTACAAATGGTGAGGGGCTCCTTATATAGGAGATGTAGTGGAGTAGGTGGTAGTGGTAGGCATGTAGTAGGTGGTAGTAGGTGGTGGTAGGTGTAGTAGGTGATGGTAGGTTTTAACAGCCCCCCGCAAACTCAAGGGGGATAGGAACTAACCAACTTGAGTTTGGAGAGAGTAACAAAACAAGAAAATAATCTGAAAAATAAAAAATGGATAGGAGACACTGTATGGTCGTGTCAGACCGTTGTAGAAGACTGTATGGTTATGGTAGACCGATATAGAAGACACTGGCTCGTGTTGGACCGATGTAGAAGACAGTTTATGGGGTCATGTCGGACCGTTGTAGCAGACAATGTTGTGACAGTTGTTGTGACAGTTTACGGAGTCTTGCTGGACCCTTATAGAAACTAACCGGAATCAATGTCGGGACAGTTTACAGAGTCTTGTCAGGCCCATGAAGGAGCTAACCGGAATCAATGTCGGGACAGTTTACAGAGTCTTGTCGGACCCCTAAAAAGTCGCACCCTCAAAAGGTGTGCCCAATCTGTCAAAAGGCGTGCCATCAAAAGGCGTGCCCAATCCATAAAAAGGTGTGCCGGACATTATGGCGAAGCGCGTGACTACCTTGGCTTGCGCGCCCATGTTGTCGTCTAGCGCCGAGCGGCGCACGATACGTGTGTCTGCCTTGGCTATTTAACCAAGACGGAGGCTGAGGCTGAGGCTGAGACAAAAACCTGCTAAAAAATCTCTGAAAAACTCTTTGTGTTCTGAGAGAGATACTCTGTAACACTCTGTTGCCCAGAAAATGGCTTCTTCTTCCCGCCCTCTGCTCACTCTCTTTCCCGACCTCAACGAGTCCACAAGAGAGATAACCGGTGCGGTGGCCCGTGAACCTCAACCAAACACCTCTGGTTTTGCTCCGTTGAACTTTCCGATGCGGTCTGTGGAGCAAAAAATGGCAGTGCAAACGGATATTGAGGCCAATCAGTATACATTGAAGTCATGTGTGAAGACCATGACGGCGGTCACAAACTTGTCGCACCGGCTTCAGAGTAGGACAAATGAGGTGCAGCAGTTAAACGCCCAACTGGCTCTGCTCCAGCGCATGTATAAGGATGCGCGAGCAGAGATAAGTGTGCTAAAGGCGAAAAATAAGGAGCTGAAGCGGAAGGCCACCATGATATTCCGATTTAGAGGTCCGCCATATGCTATAGTGGAGGAGTATGGGGGAGTGAACGTGCTCGGCGGCGTGGAAAACACAGAGGCAGCACCATCAAGGGCCGCCCAGGACGGAGGCAAGAAGAAGAGACCGGCGGCAGAGTAGAGAAGAAAAAATCCCGCCGGTGGATACATCACACACACACGCACACTTATTACAACATTGCCCTCCTCGGAGGGTCCGAATGAATAGTACAGAATAAACTAGCTAATCTAAGCTAATTAAACTAATTATTACAAAACAA